GAGGACGTGAGTGAAGAGGGGCTGCACTTGGGGGGCCTCTTTTCCGATGACCCAGGGGGCGCCAAGTGCCCTGGCTCGACCCCAGTGACCTCCCCACAGCCTTCAGACAATGAGGAGGAGGACCTGGCTGGATCCACGGTGAGTCTGGGAGTCAACTTGTTTTGGCCTTTCTTATTGTTTTTAATTTTTTGTTTGTTAATGAATTTTTAGATATGCCTTCCATAGTTTCACTCTTAGTGACCAATAAAATATAGCATATAAAATAAGCAGTAACCCACCATGACAAAATTAATGATCCATTGTTAACCTCCTGGCAACTGGCTGTCTGGAGGCCAAGGTGGACTGCATGCCAGGAAAACCATTTTTTTTTGCTGACAGCTGTGCCAAGAGCCTCCAAACACTTCTTGCCTTGAATTTAGCTTCTCACAGAGCCTTGAACTTTTCCCTCATTCTCTATGTGATTTTATTTTGTACAGAGCATTTTTGTATTGAGTAGCCAGTTTCAGGACTATATTAGTTTTCTTTTGTACTTATTATTTTTTTTTCTTAGCTAAGATTTGAACAATGTGTTTATTATGATTATTATAGCTTTATTTAAGGAGAAAAATAATTGTAACCTTTAAGAATTATTCTGCCCTTCACAAGTTCAGCTATAATGCCTAGCCCTTTCTTCCTGCTTCCCCCAGATCAACCGGTTGTCCCCGTCAGCCCTCGCCGCAGAGCCACACTCGCCGCACTACGACTCCCTGGCCCCCAGTGAGAACCCCTTTGCCCCTGCCCCTCCCTCCGACTTCAACGGGAAGTATGCGAGTGCTGCTGCTACGCCCACGCCCGTCCCACCCGCTGCCGCCCACCCCCCAGAGAGGCCCACAGAGGTGTATGATGACGATTTCCTGGACATCCACGGCAATGCAGATGAGATGGACCTCTTCTAAAGCCGGCCTCGGAAGTCCAGTGTATTTTCTTCCTTTCAATTTTTTTTATTTATTTATGTTATTATTCTTATTTTTAAACTTTTTAGGCTTTCCAGTATTTTATTAATTTTTTATTTATTTTTAATTATTTTTTCTATTTGATAAACTCAACTGTGATGTGAAACCAGTCTTGAGCCTTCCGCATGTGTCAGAGTTCTTGAAATGTCATAGAACACAGTGTCCAGTTTTCATTTGGTCTTAGTCAAAGGCTCAACACTCATTGACAGTGAGCATTAACTGTTATATTCAGCATGTTGAAACAGGTCCCCATAACATGTATATGAGAGGTACATTCTATTACATGAAAGCTCATGTATCAGACACACACACACACACACACACACACACACACACACACACACACACACACACACACACACACACACACACACACACACATACACCACACACACACACACATACACCACACACACGTAGATCAGTAGCAATGTCATGACCCCCCCCCCCCAGCCCCCCTAGCATCAGCTGCTAAGTTGCAAAGTGCCTGATTGATCATATTATCAACGGACCTACTACATGCCACATTGCCCAAGCTTCTGCATCATTTAATATACCTTCTGGAAAATGGGTCAAGGTCAGCTAAATGGTCTGGAAGGAATGGCAGCCTTGAGAGAGAGAGAGAGAGAGAGAGAGAGAGAGAGAGAGAGAGAGAGAGAGAGAGAGAGAGAGAGAGAGAGAGAGAGAGAGAGAGAGAGAGAGAGAGAGAGAGAGAGAGCGAGCAAGTAGAAGTGGGGGAAAAGAAAAAACTCTCATATCTCTATTCTTTAAGTGAGTTTATATATATATATATATATATATATATATATATATATATATATATATATATATATATATATATATATATATATATATATATATACTGTGTGTGTGAGGATTTTATTTCACCTTTATACCCCCTTTGTCCTTTTTTTTTTTTTTTTTTCTTTTTTTCTTTTTTCTTTTTTTGTAATTTGCCATGTATATTATCCATATGTTATATATATTCAGGGTTACAATAATTGTGTAATTAAGGCATATTCATAGGCTATCATCACATGTTTTGTTTTGTAAATAAAATCTTCAGGTCATTACACAAAAGAGAATAAAAGTCATGTTTCTTTTATATTCAGTAGTTTTCCTTTTTTTTCTTGTGTATATGCATGGTGCTTCGAAGTATCAACTAGATATTTTATATATTTTTTTATAGGTAGTTTTACATGTTTATCCTTCTCACTTGAGGAAGAAAAAAAAAAATGCAGTCATTACTGGAGTAAGCTTCTTAAAGAAGTCGTGTATCTCAGAATTTATGTTGGATCTCAATGTAAAGAGAAAATTGAAAATGAGAGAGTATGATTATGCAAAAAAAAAATCACAAATATCTCTTTATAACTTTTTATTTTTTCTTTCAAATTTCAAATTCCAACTTTGATGAACTTCCTTTAGAGATGTCTACAGCAGCAATTATGTAAAATAATGGTATAACAGTCGTATTTCTTAGTCCACATCAAAGTCCTATGCCGTTTCCC